TGACCCATCATCAAGAGATAGTGAACAGAACCTGATCCAGAGATAACCCAGATATTGACGTTATCAGATAGAAACTTTAAAATAACTATGGTTAAAATGCTAAAGGGCCTAGTGGAATGGGTGGGCAGCACGCATTCATCAAGGAGATGAATCCCTCCAGAAGCTTGAACACAGTGCAAGAGAGAACTGGTGAGCCTGAAGTAAGTCAATGGAAATTATCCAAACTAGACATTATCTCTTTGTGTTTACAAAGAGAAGAAAAGAGTTCATAAAAGAGAATAGTGCACCCAATAGTGCAACAATATTAAATGATCTAACTTAAATCTCACTGGAGTCTGAGAAGAAGAAAGAGAATATAGAACGTAAGAGTATTTGATGGTATGATGGCTGGGAATTTACTAAAATTAATGAAAGACAGCAAACATATATCTAAGAGGCTCAGAGAATCCCAAGTAGAATAACTACCAAGAAAACACAACAACATATAGCATAGTGAAACTCCTGGAACTCAACAATTAAAAGAAAATCTTGAAGACAGACAAAAAATGCAAAACCAAATACATTACATATAAACAAAATTAAGAATTACAGCAGAACTCTCATCAGAAACTTTGCAAGCCAGAAGACAATGGAGTAATATCTTTCAAGTATTAGAAAGCTTAGATTTTGCCACAGTCATATCAGGTCACTTGAAATCTTGGTGTTGGGGAAGCTAACAGGGCTCAAGTTGAGAATAAGAATGGTGGCACTATGGAACCAAGAGTTAATGACAGGGCTCAGATACAACTGGGGTGAACTTGAGAGCCAGACCAGGGTTCTACAGGTTTTATGTTTTTTGAAATCAGACCACTAATAAGCCAAAAAATATTTTCCAGAACCCCACCAGGTCAGAGACTGCACTGTCTTCCAGAATGGCAGGGTTGGTTAAAAGCAAAATTGTAGTGCCCATCTAAGCATCTGTCACCCTGTGTCTGATGCAGATTCAGTGAGAATAGCCAAATGACAACAGATATTTCCTATGACTTCATCTATTGAGATGTCAAGAAAAAGAAAGGAAAAAGTAAACAAAGACTCTCCTGATGCAGAGGACACAAACCCAGAAGGAGGAGCAGCTAGACAGGAGGCACCCATTTCATGATGCTGCTATTTGAGATGTTGAAGTGGAGCAAGGAGTAAGTCCTGAATAGTGGACTGAAGTCCTGGACAGTGGACAAAGGATACCAAGCAGTGCAAGATCAAGCAGAACTTTAGCCCTTTCCATAATCTCCATCATTTCCCCAAATCTTTTCCCAATAAATATGAGGTCAGACAATTAAGTACTCAAGCTCATCCTAGAAAAAGTGCTACATACCTCACTGCTGAATATCACTGCAGTCACCTTCAAAGTACTACTCCCTTGGCCATCTGAGTAGTGATATTCAGCAGTGTAGCACTCTTTCTAGGATGAGTTCTTGAACTTGACTGTCCAACTGCATATAACCTAGTAACACACAGTGAATTTGCTGTGTACATACAGCTTCAAGACAAGTGACCCTCAACTCCCTTTTTCCATTCAGATTGCCACCTCTAGGTCCCTCTTATATACACGCAGCAAGCACAGGATGGAGAAATGAGGAGGGAGACATGGAAATTCAATCTGGAGATTCTACTTAGTCACCTCCCATATGCTACCCTTATGCTAGTGGTTTGACCACAGTTATTAATTCTCCAACCACATGGGAGAAAAGCCACAAGAGAGAACATGATTGTGGATGTGGATGCTGGATTTCAACTCAAAAGAGTCCCTGGGTTATGCAAATAAACAATGTGCCTTATTTAGTGGAAGACAGACAAGATATAAAGAGGATTTCAAAAAGCCAAGGTCAAGCCATTTGTATCTCAGCTCCTATTTACTGGCAATGGCACTACAAGTGAATGTACAGAAGGAGGTACTAATAGGGGAGAGGAAAGGGGACAGAAGTAACTCTGGTCCTCTCTAGAAAAGGGATGGCAACAAGGCTTTCTGTTGTGAGGCTTTGCCTCTAAAGATACACAACAAAGCGACAGAAGCCTTCTGCTGTCTTCTCCTAATCACTTTTCTGTTTCAGAAGTCAAAACAGGACAAGCAACTAATAATTTTCAATCCTGCCTATCTGTACTCTAGTTGTATATAATTATCCCAGAAATTATAGTTGAATTATTTTTTACTTCCAGCTACTTGGAAAATCTTTTGAATGCAATCCTAAGTATTTAAGTAGAACAAGGAAGAGTTACCACAATATCTAGGTAAAAGAGGCCTATCATTCCTTTGAAAAGTCTGAAATACTTTGATTACATTTGGGTACTGGGATGAATTTTTTTAAATACCTCTGTTTATTATAGGAAAAACAGATTTTAAAAATTGGTTAGAAAATCTCCACACTTTAAAAAGCACGGATCAGTCAAATCATCTTTTAAAGGCCCTCTTTAACTCCAAAAAGACAAAGAAAGTTAGTGAACATTAAACACATTTACATGTATGACAAATATCTACTATTGCTAATGATTTAGAACAAGCAAACTTGGTCGAGTTGTAACTTTTAGGTGCTATGTGTAATTCAGCATGGGTCAAAGCCCTTTTTTTTTCCAACCTAATCATTTTATGGAATTTTAACAAAATAAGCAGAGTAGTACCATAGAAAAAACATTTGACTGTGCATCTCAAGTCTCAACTTGAGAGCTGTCTATCAAAGAATGCTGTTAGAAAGAGAGAGCTCCGTGATGTTCTGCTTCTTTAGCTAAGAAGGCGAGGAAATAAGTGACTTAGTTTTTAGAGGAATCCAGGCAGCGGGTGGAAGGTCAGATTAGTGCTCTCTACGGATCCACCCAACGCTGGGGTTCTGTGGTCAGACGGCCTCCAAGGCTGCTTCTAGCTCAGAAAATACAGATACTTAGAATATAATTTTTTTCCATTTTAATTGGACACATAGGTTAACAGTATGTTTTACTTTCAAAGTTTATTGTTGGAGATGTTTATTACTTATGTGATATCAAGTGTTTGGTCCGGAATCAATCCTAACTACAATGACGCTCTGGGAAAACATTTTGCTTTATAAGGCATACACTGTAGTAAAAAGTAGAGCCCATCCATGAAACATTAGAAAATACTAGTCCCAACGGAAGTAACATTTATCACCCCAAACCTGATAGTATTCAGGAATTTAGAGATAACACTGTAAAAGATGTGATGTTATTTTGTATCTCTCAAATCCATCAAAAAATAAATTACCCAAATGTACATTTGTATTTGCAACAAAATTTAAAATAGATGGTACTTTTCAAGTAGGCATTTAAAACTCAACACATGAAAAGCTGAAATGGGATATTAAATGACATCTGAAGTTTTTGAAATGCATTTAAAAATCCAAATAAAGCATCACAAGTTCCTTAAGTTATTTCCTTTATTTTAAAGTGTCAAAATACTTAAAGATAGGCTTGTGCATACATGTAAGGTGTATGTCTCAGAATTCAGAACTATGCAAGGAATTTTTCAATATGACTACAAAATTTACATACTTTAGTGTAGCGGTTAATGCTTACTTTTGGAATCTATCATTGATGCTACTTCTAAAGAACAACGACCCAGCCAGAAAGAGAGTAAAGGCTGCCTTTTTGTTTTTAAAGTGCTATTAACCTTATATTCAAAAACAATGGTTTTTACAAATACATAATATTGAAAGGTGTTCAAAAAGTCACGACTTACAGAATTACACATGTCATTTTCTAACTTTGCACGTATACACTGGTTTAATCTGTATTAATAAAGACTGCCTTCACAGGCTCTCAACCACATGCTTCAAATTAAGATAGTGTGTAAGTACCAGCAGCATGAACAAACTCCAGTACAATTTAAATGGGTAACAGCACACCAGAGAAATTTTAACAGCTTTTTTTTTTTTTGAGACAGAGTCTCACCCTGGTTAGAGTACTGTGGTTTCATAGCTCACAGCAACTTCAAACTCTTAGGCTCAAGCGATCCTCCTGCCTCAGCCTCCCAATTAGCTGGGACTACAGGCACCCACCACAATGCCCGGCTAGTTTTTCTATTTTTAGTAGACACAGGATTTTGCTCTTGTTCAGGCTGATCTCAAACTCCAGAGCTTAAGCAATCCACCTGCCTCAGCCTTCCAGAGTGCTAGGATTACAAGCATGAGCCACCACGCCTGGCCTGTAACAGCTTTTGCATATGTTACACATCTAAGAATGAGCTTTCTCTTTCATTCTGCATAGATGTATAAGGTAAACATAAAAAATAAAAATACTTTCTTGTCTCTCTATAGTATTTGAAGGGATTCAAATTCTCTTACTATTTAACTCTTGTTTCCATATAGAGGAGGCTTCATATTCTTAATGTTTTAAATGAAGCCTATTTCCACCAAAAAAAGCAGGAAGGAATTAATAAGTGAAATCCTGAACTTTTAAAACCTGAGGAATAAAGTTGTGAACAATTCTGAAATTTTTTTAAAGGCTAATAAAACATTCCAAAATAGAATTTGTGAGAGTGAAATTGTGGCTTCATTTCAATGTATCACTTTTATCTGATTTAAATAATTTAGAAAAAATAAAAATCATCTTACCCTAACTGCTTTCTGTATGAGACTATCTTTCTGATCCATGCCCCATTATGAACCACTCAACAGTTTTATACTGAGCAGCCCTTCAGGGCTCTAATTTCTGAAACTTAAGCTCTTTTTTACTCCTCCTTTCTCTCCCCCAAATCCCTATATATTCCCAAGAGAAAATTTTCATTTAAAAAATCACAATGTAAATGCAGTGTGATAATGCTACCTTTGATTTAAAGTAGTAATAAATTATAAACTGTCAAATAACTTAATGTAATTCACAATGCAAAACCCTGGTATAAAAAGAATCCATCTTGCCCTGAATATAATAAAGCAGTCCAGTGATTTCAAATTACTATGAAATAAAGGCAAAAATAAGATGCAAAACACTATTTATAAAAGTCAAGTAAGAAACCAGTTACCATAAATCTTTTTACAAAGATAAATGTAATGCAGCTTGCCACTTCTAAAAATCACTAGGGAGGTTTACAGTTAGTGGTTTCAAAAATGACTTTAGGGAAACAAGGGATTGAATTATTTATTATTGTAACATGTGACATATTAAATATATATGTAACAATAATACTGCAATGAAGAGTAATTTAAATTAATCTTTGGACCTGCTACTTTTTGGCAAGTATATTTCTTTTTTAAAGTCTTTGCTGTAATTGATGAATTTTTAAATGTTAATTTTCAAAAACGTTTCTTCTTGAGATACTTATGTTAATAAGGAGATACCAGAAGTCTCCAATAGTAATAATATCCCTACAAAAGAAAACAAAGATTGTTCTTACGTCTTCTGTTACTGTAACAAATACACTTTAAAATAGATAACATTACTATGGCTAGAAATTAAAAATACCCAAATCCTTAAAAAGGGGGTGGAAAAGGAAAGAAAAATTGAAAATTCTTATTTAAAAATAAACCCGAAGTCCTTGCATTTCTTAAGAACACGACTTGTCAAATCACAGCTTATCTTCTTTCTGACCAAGGTGTATCTTCTATCACTCATCTGTATGATACAATGTCAATTCTCCATTTTGTAGATTTCAGTTTGAATTTTCTTGAATGTTCGCAAAACTGGTACTGGACTTGAGACGTTTGGCTAGAGAAATCAAAAATATTATATTCCAACTTTAAATGTAATTCTCCATGCATGATTATTTATTATTTTAATGTAAACTATACTATTTGTCCATTAATTCTATGTTCAAACCTGCATAGATTCCACCTTCTAAGAATTAAAACCTAAGTGTTATTTTTACTACCAACCTTAGAAAACATAACTTTGTTCGAACCAGTACCAAATAAGACAACATCATTTATATCTTCTAGAACATTACAGTCTTAAGCATACAGTAATGTAGGTAAAAAGTAATCTACTGAAAAAATCAAAGTGTTACAATGAATAACAAAATTGTACATTTAAAAGTCTAAGAAATCCAAATATAAATTTCTCCTAAAAGAATTCAGTGAAAACATCCTCAATCTGATAAAAGACTCCAAGATTCTACAGTGATTATCATGCTTAGTGAAAGAATTTTTGTGATGATTGTGATGAATGATTTCCACCTAAGATCTGGAACTAGTCATGC